ATGATGTGAGACTTCGCAGGAGAGCATTTTCAGCAATGACTCATCTTAATGCCTCTGATTGGCCATTGCATTCATAAACTCAACGTAATCGTGTGTGATTGGTTATAACGCACAACACTGTAAAAATGCGTAGAAAGAAATATGATGGAACAAATAAGCCCTGATATTAATTAGATAATAACACTAGCCTGATAATAATAATAATAATAATAATAATGCTCTTGATATAGTCAAAGTACATGATACTATCATCTATCGGCATAACCCTATAAGAGCAATCAGTGTCAATACCCAGTCCTGTTTAGTGTTTATTGTTATGGATAATGTGGTCGTGGTGGAGTTACGTCTTCAGATTTGTATGCTTTAAATAAGTTAAATAAGAACACAGCCCTGGTATTCTAATGTATAGTTTATCATAACATTGTTTGAATGTCTTTTACATCCTCTCTTAAGATTTGTACAGCTTTCAGGCCAGTGCCAATAAATGTGCGCCGGTCTAAATCTTAGTGTGGAAAGCGGATTATGTGTGTGCTTCCTCCATGCCAAGAGTCACAGCTGAACATGCTGTCCATGTGGGTGCAGTCTGTGAAGTGATGAAGGATGGAGACTTATATGGCTTGACTTGCTATAAAACTCCTTGGTTGTGCATAACATCAAAATCATATTTCTGTCAAAAGATGAGCTTAACTTTCATCTGATATTTCACCAGCCAGCTTTGGCTAATGTGCTTTGGAAACATGTAACATTGCATCCAAAGCGGCTTTGATTGGGAAACGCTGCCCTGCAGAGATGCAGTATTTAATGCCAAAGTTTGTCCTGCAATTCAAGTTTGGGGCGTATGGAGAATTTCTTAAAACGAAAGTCTAAATCTCAGCAACAGTGCTGTTACTTTCAGACATTTTTTTTTAAAAACACGCATAAAATGTCCCTACTGCATGACAGGCACCACTGAAAAGGGAAATACACCTATTTTTTGTAAAAGCCATTGCAACAGCAAAAAAGTGTGCTGCAGAAACATCTTTCCTCCCAATTATTTTGCACTTTCAGGATTGCTGATGTTTTTAGGCAGGTGTCTTTTGGAGAGTCTGGTGTGTGGTTGTTAACAAAATCTCTAAAATGGCTTTTTAGGAAATAGGACTGTCCCAGGCTTCCATCACTCCAGATTTGAAGCGTCTGGAAACTTTGTAGCACAAGATCTATAGTACATGGCCCTAGAGTCCAAGTTATTACCCACTGACCTGCTTACTTTGTCTTCTACTGAATAAACTGCTTTGCAGAAATTGTTGTACTGCCTACCTACAAAGCAAGAAAACAGCAAAGTCTTCAGTCTTGCTCTCTTGGTGGTAATTTTATCAGAGAAAAAAGAAATTACCTCCCTTTCTTCAACTTGGCCCCAGGAAATATGAAACCTCTCTTTACTTAATTGACTATGGAAGAATATTCAGGAATTTTTTCAAAGGGAATTGCAAATTGTGTTTTCAATTGCATTTTCCACATGTGGGCGCATAAATTGTGACATAATCCAAATGCAATTGCAAATCTTGCATTCCCGTTTGCATTTTTGCTTTGTTGTATGTCGCTCCTTGTGCCACATTGCCATGGAGATGGGCTCTTTACAACCCATGTGATGTGTCCATACAGAGTCGCCTGTGTGGGTAAACAGAGCCTGACACAATTGGCCTTTAAGCCATGAATCATTCCCTAGCAAACTGAGTCAAGTCATTTTAACTTTAATGAAATTTGGAGATCTGCCATGGAGCTCGTGCTTATGGGAACTGCACAAAAATCGTTATTGATCAAGCGTTATTGAGTATTTTGTGCTGAGGGAAGCTGAACTAAAAAACAGGTAAGTGTTGAGCTTACAAAGTTGTTTCAAAGTTGATCATTTACTAAAATGTTGTTTCTAAGCCGGTGTCTTCAGACACATTTGAGCTATAGGTGTAACCGGCGTTATAAAATAAAAATAGAAAATACATTCATCCCGTATTTTTGTAACTGTTGTTTGGTCTATCTGACATATAGCCTGTTTTAGTCTCAAGAAAAGCGATGGTAGTGGGGAAAAAGTTCAATCCCTCACCCTGATTTGAAATGACAGTTGATTTGATCCAGACCTGATTGGGCCTTCTGCTCCAGGCAAAGCCCACGTTTTTTTCTCAGCAATCGCTAATAATTAATTGAATGGAAGGGACAGTTTTGTATTGACACAGAGCACAAGCACAATCTCTTTAAACTTGAAGAACATTTCCAGTGACACAGTAACCTCTTCAGCTCTTTTTGATTGTTGTTTGACAATTGTTGTTTGACTTTTTTTTTTTTTTTTTGGCTTTTTATTTTGTGAACAAAAACAGTATCACTTGCTTTATGAGATTAAAGCTCATGTAATTAGAAAGCCAAAGGTAAACGTGGCAAAATAATTAGACAAATATAAATATATGTATTACCATTCAAATTTTTTTTTTTTATTAAATATGTAAGCATTATTATTTGGTCAAAAACAGTAAAACAATATTACAATTTAAAATGACTGTTTTCTATTTGATTATATAATAAAATGTAATTTATTCCTGTAATAGCAAAGCTGAATTTTCAACAACTATTACTTTAGTCTTCAGTGTCACACGATCCTTCAGTCCTTCAGAAATCCGAAACATTTATTGTTATTATCAATGTTGCAAATATTAATATCTTCTTGATATTTTTATGCAAACAATGCAATTTTTTTCAGGATTCTTCAATGAATATAAAGTTCAAAAGTTCATTTTTTAAAATAAATTGTAACATTTATAAATGTCTTTACTGTCTCTTTTGAACAATTTTTGTCCTTGCTGAACAAAAGTGTTAATTTCTTTCAAAAATATATAATTATTAATAATAATAATAATTTCTGTTGTTTGTACATGGTATTATGTCTGTTATGTAGTAACATGGTTCTGTGTACAAAAAAGCAGGTGAGCTTGACAAAGAAAACTGTTTTGTATGATGTCAGATATTACTGTATTTACACCTTATTTTTCTGCTTTTTTCTAACCTCCTGCAGCTAAAACCACTCTTAATCCATTTTGTAATTATATGGGACTGTAACAACACGGGTGATTTAAGAGGCAATTTTCACATGTAGCGATTTAAAGCATAGAGAATTAGAGATCAACAAAAACAAGAAATTGTGAGACATGAGCATTGATGGACTATGAGATAATTACAGACATGTTTTCAACCATCACATCATGGTAGAAAAAATACTACCCATGAATTATGGAAATAGATCATGGTATTAACTTGGATAAGAATAGATGTAGCCATAGGCTGTAGGTGACCTGGCAATACCACGCCACAAACATCACCACAGTATCTTTCTCATGCTGTGCCCTCATGCATGTTAATGTTAATGCTGATAGATTGCCATTGAATTCTGTTCCATGATGCATCGATGTGGGTGGCAAATTTTGTCAGAAAAGCTGCTCTTCTGTTGAACTTTCTGTTCATCAAAGGATTCAGAAAAAAAATGTAGCGTGGTTTCCAACAAAAATATTAAGTAGCGCAAAAAAAAAAAAAAATTCTTGAGTACCAAATCAGCATATTAGAATGATTTCTGAGGGATCATGTGACAATGGAGACTGGCATAATATTGCCTTAAATTCAGCTTTGCATCACAGGAATAAATTACATTGTAAAATAAATATTTTTCACAATCTTATATATTGTATTTTTTTATCTTAAAGGGGTCATATGAGGCTTCTAAAAAGAACAGTATTTTACAGATCTTCTTTATGCACCAAGAGCTTGTAACACTCCAAAGAGAAAGGAAAAATTGAAATCGCAGCATATGACCCCTTTAAAAATAAAAAAGTAATCTTATGTTTTGTATTTTTGATCGAATAAATGCAGCCGTGGTGAGCATAAGAAAATATCAAAAACATTAACAGAAAATCTTACCCTAAACTTTTGAAAAGTAGTGCATAGTGTTTTTTTATTTTATTGAAAATAAATTATTGGAATTAAATTATTTTGAAAAAGTGTAATTCTAAAACTTTAAATATTTAAGTTTTTAGGTTGCTAATTAAATACCAGAAAATGTGTAATTTTGACATGTTGTAGTTAACATACTGGCAAAATTGATGAACGTATTTGACTCCAACTTATGTCTGATTGCCCCTAGTCCTTACATAACCTTAATGACTGGCCCAGCTTCAACCTTAAACAGTGTGTGAGTGCACTTGTATGGCTTTTGCTTAGGACAGCCCAGAGACAAAACAGACTGCTGGCTTTTTTGGAAATGGAAGCATTGCTATATTGCCACAGACAATTGAAGATTTGAATTTCAAGGGAACTTTTGCACAGCATGAACCAGGTTGTAAATGGTGTTCTGCTTCAGGTTTGAGTGAGTCATCCTACACGCCTTCTCTTTATTTCAGAACTGTGTTTTATATTCCATGTTCACATCATGTACCGTGCCGCCTTGAATCGACCTCAGTACTGCTTGATTGCTCTAAATGCCAGACTATCACGGCAATTGCCATCTGAGTATTTTGGTGCCTTTAATCTTCGCTACACGGCAGTTCTACTCTGCTGCTATGGCGACAGCTGCGGAGACGGACAACTTGCTCTTATCTTTCAGAATGCAGAGTGACAGAGTGGGATTCTGGGATGGATCTCCGACACAGGCCTGTTTTAGACCCTTTTGGCTAAAAGCGTCACCATTCCTCTTCCCGATGAGCTTAGCAGGTCTACACTAACATTGGCACTCCTGCTATAATCAAGCTCCGGGTGTTTACTTGGCCACAGGTCATTTCATACCCAGTTCTCACTACAATGAGCCCTGCAGATACATGCTTATGTCTGTTTCTCACAGTCTTCTGTGTCATTTATGGCTGTGGAATTAAACCAGACATCTTTGAATCCTTGTTTGTGTGCATATATTTTGTTTTTGGCCTGACTGCCCCTCCTTTCTCTCTCTCTCTCTCTCTCTCTCTCTCTCTCTCTCCCTCTCTCCCCGTGTGTAGGTGGGAAACCCTCGTGTGGAGCTCACTCTCTCAGAGCTACAGGAGATGGCCACTCGTCAGCAGCAGCAAATTGAGGCCCAGCAACAGATGCTTGTCGCTAAGGTAACACGCTCAGATGTGTCCTTTGATGGGCATCTTTTTATAGATCATTGTTTTCATCTGTGTGGGGACTAGACGCAGATATTTGTTCCAGTTAGAATTTGCAGTTGAATCAAACAGTGCCATTCATTTATTTACTGATGTTAAAATGGCATGGTTTCTATTTTGATTTTATTGCTTTTATGGATGGTTTATTTAGCCCTTAAGCAGATTGACTATTTGTTTTGACCGTATTGTGGCATTTACCAGTAATTGGCAAATGATTTTAGCTTTTTCATTGTTCATTGGTCTACATTTATCCTAGATAGAACTGAACTTGCAGTTGTGAAATGTACAAGTAGCTAGGAGGTGAACGGTAGGATCATTGTACACTTTGGTGTTATTTTCAGATAGAATGTAGAATTACCCAAAGTATGTAAGAGTCTAGGTTGTTAATCAAATGTCAGTTAATGTATAACTTTATTATTAAGAACTATTATTACAGTTAGAAAATTTTGCGAAATCATTTTCAATAGTGGTCTCAGACTTTTGTACCCCACTGTTTTGTCAGTTGTATTTTTGGCATAATGCAATTAAAATTTTTTGCTTAACCAGTTTGATTCCAACTATAGATTAGGGTTGTGACGGTGAGGAAATTTTCCCACCGGTTAATCGACGTGTGACAACACCGGTAATACCGGTATCACTGCGGGTGAGGGTGTTCCCTCTTTTCCTCGCTTTCCTTCGCTTTTAAATAGCTTGTAAAAGCGGTGTGCCCATTTTACTTTAACTTTCAAATAGCGGCAATTCGGAGTAAAGCAATTGTTAATTTTTAGTTTGTTTGAATTTTCCCTCTTTTCCTCATGCGAATATTTTCTCCAGTTGCTATTAAATCAAACATTGGCATTAATTAATTCATTGACATTAAATGGTTTCTATTTTGATCTTATGGGTATTGTGGATGTTGAGCATCATTTTCTTTAGCCTTTAAGCTGAGTGATCATTTATTTTGATTGCGTGGTAGCATTTACCAGAAATTGGCAAATAATTTTTAGCTTTTTCTTTATTTATCAATCTACATTTGTCCTATCTAGAACTAGGGCTGTGCAAAAAATCGAATGCGATTTTCATGCGCATCTCGTCAGTAAAGGCGCTCCTGTGATTAGTAGTAAATCTCCAGCACGTGCGTTCAGATGGAGCGGCATTTACTACACAGAGCCGTAGTTCACTGACTAGCTACACAAAATCGCAAGCGATTCATTGCCGATTTTGAACGCGATTTTGTGTAGCTTGTCAGTGAACTACTTGGAAGAACTGAAACTACTTCTAATCACAGGAGCGGCTTTACTGACGAGATGCGCATGAAACTCACATTCAATTTTTTGCACAGCCCTATCTAGAACCAAGCTTTCAGTTGTGTGATGTCTGAATAGCTAGCAGGTAAATAGTAAGGTTATATCTTTGGAAAAGGTGCTTGAGTACTATATATAAATGTTGGTGTTATTTTTCAGATAGAATGTTGAATTACATCTTTTTGCTAAAAAAAAAATGGTTTAAGTCAGTAACCATTAAAAGGTGAAGCATAAGCCTACTTTTATTAATTTAAGCCAGCAGGCAACTAAAGTTGCAAAAGGGTCTTCCACTATTCATTCTAGGGGTATGCCGGTATCAAATTTTCATGTTGCGATTAATTGCTAATGCTTTCATCATGATATACGGTATTATCACGGTATTGAAATGTAGTTCTGTCATGACAACTCTCGGAGGGATTGGCATGGTAATAAATGTTTAGAAGATTTTTTCATTGGCAGTTTGTTAACTATTGTCAACTAATGAAGCCCTAAAGTGACCGAACAATAAAGAATCAAAACACTTTCAAACAATATTTATCTCACGCGTTCCACCATGCGCTTCTCAATCATGCTTGTTTACATCTGAGTGTGCATGCGTCTGTGATGCAGCATACAGCGGTGTTGTGCATTGTGACCAGTTGATGGGAAAATTATTATTAAAACGCATTCAAAATTCTGAATAATTTGTAATACCGTATTGGCCCGAATATAAGACGACCCTGATTATAAGACGACCCCCCCTTTTTCCAGATGTACCTTTTGGAAAAAGGCTTTTTAAAAACCAAATCTTGTTTTTTCTCAGTAAAACACATTTTGTCTTCAATTATTTTCATATTGCATATTTTTCCTATTTTAATTTTTGTTTTGAAAGTATGGTAAAAACTGGTAAAATGTACCAACAATCACATTAAAAAAAATATACACTTTTTATAACAATACTGTGCATATTCATTATCGTGATATATGAATGAATGAATGAATGAGGCATTTATATAGAGTTTTTATTGTGTATCGCTGTACACCCAAAGCGCTTTACAATCATATGGGGGGATCTCTCCTCAACCACCACCAGTGTGCAGCATCTACCTGGATGATGCGACCGCAGCCACAGTACAACAGCGCCAGTGAGCTTACCACACACCAGCTACAGGTGGAGAGGAGAGAGAGTGATGGAGCCAATCAAGTGGATGGGGATTATTAGGAGGCCATGATTGACAACTCTGTATTTTGAAGTGCCCACGATAACAATACTGTGCATATTCATTATCGTGATATATGAATGAATGAATGAATGAGGCATTTATATAGAGTTTTTATTGTGTATCGCTGTACACCCAAAGCGCTTTACAATCATATGGGGGGATCTCTCCTCAACCACCACCAGTGTGCAGCATCTACCTGGATGATG